GCCGCCCTGCCTGCGGTGTGAGCGCCAGCACGGGGATGGGCTTCCCCAGCTTCCCCAGGAAGTTCGCCCCCGGCCGCTGAACCCGCCCCGCTGCTCCCGGAGGTTCGAGCGGCTTCGTCTCCCCGGGGAGCAGAGAGGGCCAGTCCTGCCGCCCTTGCGAGCAGCATGGACCAAAGCGTCGTGGATCACCCGGTGACCCTCATCATCAAGGCCCCCAACCAGAAATACACCGACCAGACCATTAACTGCTTTCTGGACTGGACTGTGGGCAAGCTAAAATCTCACCTCTCTAAAGTCTACCCCAGTAAACCGGTGAGTTGTTGGCCAGCCCCTTTTCTTCATCTTGTCGGTAAGGCTGGCGTTACAGTAACTTCTGGACAGTCGATCGAGACTTCCCTTAGGTACCCTGCAAAATAAACAAGAGTCCTACTGCCAAAGAGTTCCCTGTGCAAAGGCAACGAGTGGCGCTCTGCTTTCAGGGAACTTGGCAACATTAAATAGCCGCTCTTTCATACGGCCTAAGAAGATCACTGTTTAGCATCCTGAAAGGTGGTATCGCTGAAGACACTTGTTAAGGCTCCATTTAACTTTTTTAGGAACTGGAATTTAGGTATCTCAGTTAACTCAATATAAGGCAAATTTCTGTAAATGTAGAAGTTCTGTCTAAAGTAATTACAGTCCTTATGCGAGATAGCTAAAGTTACTATGATCTAGTGAATTCACCGAGGTGTGGAGCAGATCAGATGTTTATTCATAATATTATCTGAAACATGCAACTGAACAACCTCCAGAATTACTTCCTTTTTTTTTCCTCTTTGAAAAGCTATTTTTTTGAGGTTGTGTTGAAAACTGTGCGCTCAGATGTCGTACAAACTTGTATGATACTTGTGACTGTATTTTGAAACTTAATATAAAAGCTTCTGTCTTTTTTGTTGTTGTTCACTGAGGAAAATATGATTAATTTTAAAATTATTTTAAGTTTTAAATTTGGCAATTAAGAAGAGGCTATGAAAAACCATACAGATAATAATAGATAATGCTGTACCTGTTTAGAATGGCAGTCATACAGAACAGTGTATTTTTGAAGATTTGTTCCAGAAAACTATATAAAGGGAGTGGCTTTGCCTCCACATTGCAGCAGCATGTGGGGCTTAGACCTTACTGTAGAAAACATCGGACAAAGGTTGCGTTCATATTGCGAAAGATTGGTATTCACCTAGTTCAATGGAAGAATTATTGGCATTGTTGATGGGGGGGGGGCGGGCGCAAAATAGTGACTTTGTGTCTCAAAGGGGTTTCTGCCTTTTGGAGAAAGCAGAAGAAATGCCATCAACAGCTTAGACTGTGTCACTGGTACAGTGAGCTATGTTAAGCAGTATTTGAGAATTTCTGGATTCAGTTATTGTTGTGAGTAATTCTCTGCTAAGAGAGCCTCCCTGCTGTAAAAGAAACAAGTACATGACTTCAGCTGGTAGCTGCTTCGTCCTTCTTGCTAGAATCTCCTCCTGCGATTTGTGTTTAAACACTAGTTTTCTGACTTGTTCTATGATATTGCTAAACTGGGCTTCTAGGAAGAATCCTTAATGAAGAAGAGGCTTTTTATGTTGCACTGTATGTTTTAACCAGTGGTGTAATATTACATTTCAGTTTTCTGGAACATCTTTCTCCTGTTGAAAATTGATTCCTCAGCGTGTTTCTTCTTACTAAATTACTAATTCAGAATCCCCAAAATTGTTCTGGGTTAAAGAATGGGGAGTTTCTTTAGTGAAAATTATCCCAGTAATTAAAATTTAATTTGTATTTACTGTACTTGCAATTAATTAAACTAGTAACTGAACACACCATTTTATTTCCTAGAATCTTTCAAATGAGAGTAATAACATGGGAAGGGATAAAGGTATTTAATAGCATGTTTCCTATGTATAGTAAAATTGCAAAGTGTGTTTTTGGCTTGATATGTCTTTGACATTGAGTGTTACAGCTTTTTTCAAATTTGTTTAAATCTTGTGCTTTTAGGAGGGCCCCCCCTTTTTTTTGTTTTTCTTTTTAAACCAGATCAGTATCCACAGCTTGTTGATCAAGTTTCTATATTCCCTAATGTGATAGGTCCTGGAAACTTCTATTACAATGCCATATTTTAGGAGTGTGAGAGTACATCAGAACACAGATGCTTTGTACAGGTATTGCAGTGCTCTTCTGGATAAGAATGTAAAATAGAAATCAGTTGCTATCACTACTATATGCAGCCTTTCAGGTTTTCATGTGTGACTTGTACCTGTTTCTTCGATACAGAACTGCAAATTAGTTGGTAAATGGGTGGCAACTGTAAACGTTCTCATTAAATTTACAATTTACTGAGAGCATATCTTCAGAAAATGAGGTGGTTAAAATAAGCTAACAAGAAGTTAGGCCTTGAGACAGTGTTGTTTTTTCTTTTTCTGGATTAATTTGTGTATCTGACTTAGCTAAATATGTACAAACTTTAAGAATAGGTAGATGTAAATTGGTTTAGTTGTTATTATTGTATAGTTGCCTATACTAAGGTTCACATTTGTCAATTTTTTTTTTTCCCCTGACTGGACCAGTTTTTCATAGCTGGAGTACTGCAGTTAGTGTCCTTAGATGAAATGTTTACTGAAGAAAAGAAAACTTGGAAAATCAACCTGTATATCTCAGTCAGGCAGATCTTGCATTCAGTGCATTAACTGCTGCATTGATTACACCCATAAACATTAATTTAAAACTGCTGTTTCTCATTTCCTGTAGTACCTGTCATCTAGCATATACTTTGCCCACACTTCTAACCAGATGTGGTTGTTTGGATTTTTATTTCCTATGAAGGAATGGGAGAGAGGCTGGGTGAGCAAAATAATGGATGTCTTGTAGCTGAAACAGCATAGCTCAGATTCTCTGTTTCTAAAGGAAGTAGCTGCATTAAGTTAGGTTTAGTGGATTTGATAATGTGCTGGGCATAGCTAACTTGAACTAAGCATTGCAGAAGGAGTCTTGCATAAAAAATGGAATTTAGAAACCACTAGCTGATGACTTCTTTGTTTTAAATACATACCTTTTGCATTATTATCTGAAAACTGTCTTCCACCTCACTCTAAACCTTAGCTTCTAGAATAACTTTAGCTGATGCTATGTGCTTGCTTCTGAAAATGGGACCATTCTAATTATATATATATATTTTTAAGTCTTTTTCCATCATGGTTCAGTGTTCGGGCTAGCAGTTAGCATACTGTTACTTGAAGCAGGGGGTGTGGTAGTGAACCTCCTCTGGCAGAGGATGAGTTGAATGCCTTTTCCATTTACTTTGGCATATATGTGAATTAAAGTGTTTTGACATCTATCACGTTGTCTTCAGTCTGCATTTAAAAATCTGGCTTTCACCCTGAGAATTGCAAGTGATGATCCTGTAGTGCACAGTTAGGTATTTAAGTTACGTAGGAAGGAGTATGGGGTTTAAGACCTCATCTTCCTCCATTAATGTCTCCAGCTTAATATGATTAAGTGTTCAATGTATGTGTAACCTTTTCTTCTGTAGTTTTGTAGGGAGCTGAAAGACATTACTGAAGGCTATGTAGCAGTCAGCTTTGAGGGGTCATTTTAATCTAGCAGTTTCTTCTCTGTAAAGTATTCATATTAAAAAAAGTAATTTGTACTACTTGTATCATGTTTGAGAAGGTACCCAATTAGATGGGGCTGAGAGGAGATTCATACATACAGTAATGAAGAGAAGAATCTGAATTTGACCATGTAGAAAGCTGTATTATGAGTGGACAGGTAAAACAGCACTCCATTGCCGTGTTGGATGATGGTACCAAGATCTGGAGTTTGGGGGGATTTTGTTGTTTTGCTTTTTTTTAACTGCTTATCTGTTGTAATTAATCTCCAGATAATTTATCTCAGGACCTAGAAACAAGGTTTCTGAGACTTTTCTTCTGGCTCCCTTGGTCATTCTAAAGCAACAAGTTTCTAACATACAGGAAATCAAAGTTTTCTGTAATCTTGATGCATGCTGCAGATCCTAGTTTTTCTAAGAGGCCCTTTCCCAAATACAAAACACAAGTAAACTTGTATTCTGTTAGCAGCCTGTTCCTGCTTGAAAGGAGCAAACAAAATGATATAGTTCAAAAGAACTTAGTCTGACATGAGACAGGCATTTTTTTGTTGTTGTTTTAAACATAAATAGAAATAGTACAGCATTGTTGTTGAATTCATTGCAATGTTTTAACCATTGGAGCTCCAAATAACCAGTTCCCTGTATTGTAAGACTTAGAAAAATAGTGTATTACGTCACTAATGTAAAAATACAGAAAAATGCAGAGGAACATAGAGAATGATTCTTCAATAGAAGTGATAAACAGTTCTGCACTATATGTGGCACGTTATCTACTCATTTTTTGAAGACGTATTTAATCATGAATAGCTAGTATGAATTTTGGAAAAAAAGTTAAAGCAAAAGCTTCTCAGATTTAATGTGTACTTTTTATAATTATTTGCTTAGAGTATCATCTTTTTTTTCCCTAGTGATATGACCAGACTTTTTTTCAGGGGGAAAAAAGAAAGTTCTGCAACTTTTCTGTGTTCTGCTAAGTTATTGGGCTATTGCAAGGAAAAAAAAATCTCAAAACTTCTGTGAAAGCTTTTTCTAGTCGGAGATCTGGATCTTGGGTATTTATGTCTTAGTATTAGCATGAATAAGACTGCAGAGTGGGCAACAGAAGGCTGTGAGAGAAAGACGAGAGATGTTGTAAGACTAGCTGTTCGCATGATAGGGAAATTCTTCAAATATTTCATGCTGATAATGCATGCCTGTTCCACTGCTGTTAGGCTAGATTTCTTCATTTAGCATTTGTTTATGTTAGTGCCCTCTTTCAAGTGATAAATACTATTGTATTAATTTAGGATGCAAGCAGTAGTTAAACTGAACTGATGTAACAGTTGGATTCTCTTAAATATTCACCTATATTGACAGAATTTTAAGGAGTTTTTTTTAAAAAAAAAAACAACCCTGTTTGTTCACATGGTTACAGCATGTTAGTGACCCACAAGTATTAGGACTATTTAAAACTTTGACAGCATTAACTGAATTGAGTGGGGTTGGGGTTTTTGTTTGTTTTGTTTAGCCAAGTAAGATGCCTTAGTGTACTGGCCATCTTACTGTAGCTAGGTACCCCAAATAGTTTCCTTTTTTTTAAAAGAATTTTGTCATTATCTCTGTTGTGTAGAATAGTTAAAAGTTATTACTTTAAGTAGCTTATTTGTTTGGGTTTTTTAATTTAAAAAGATCTTTGTTTGCATTACTAAGGTATTTTAAACTGCGTAAGTGTAAGAACAGGCAAAAAAGCTTACCAAAGTTTGAAGGCTACCTTAAAAAAAATCCTTTTGCTGCTTCATGCTTTTTAATGCTTTCTTCCTTGTTTCCTCTTGTGATTTTTTTTTTG